GGGGCATATGTGTTTGGGGAGATGACCTGCTCTTTAGAAATGCTCCTTAATTTGTTTTTTATTAGAAATCTCTTACCTTTGGGGTCTTTGGGGGAACCGATAGAGAAACATGGAAGAAAAGGGTGCCAATCACACACGTTTTGGGTGTTATACTGAGTGTTAGAAACTCTACCATGGCAAATATATGCCCTACGAACTGGTGGAAAGCTGTCAATAATCTAACTGGAGGCAAACTAAGACTTTGGTAACATCTGAGAAGATGGGCCATTTATTTTTACCTGGCTTCATTCTTCCATGGATTTGGGGCTGCAGCCTCACTTTAATACAGATATCCACTCCCTCATGCGTCTAATGTAAATAAAACCTGAGGCTGGGATGGTAAAAACTGTACAGATTAACATATTAAGTCTCCTTCCAAGGGTAATTTAAAATGAAGCCCAAAGAAAGGGCTTATTTTTCAGCATTGCATATGATTGGCACATGTATACATATGGGTTTTTTTTTGTTTTTTTGTCTTTGCTAGGCCTCCTTTATGTCTATAACACAGATGGACAGAAAAAAAGCATTGTATGAGAGGTCTTCAGAATCCTGACAAAGAACCTAATCTATGGAAGTGAGCTGCCCCCTTAGCTAATGTGGTAAAGCTGGTGTTTAAAGGAATGAAATCCTATAGTACGTTAAAGAGATTCTTATTCTAAAAAGCTTTAGGTGTTTATACCACACAAGTGGTAAGTTTATCAGAAAGCTATCCTGATCCCTCAATCCTGAATATATCAGAAGAGAACTTTACATTTAAATCAGAATTTTCAAATGGGCTCTGGTGCTGCTTGCCAGAACTTACCACAAGTACAGACAATTCTCATAATATAAACTGACAAGATGGACTGGTTCAAGGCCAATGGTTGATTGGAACCCTTCTGACTACTGTATAAAATTGTGCAGCCACTATGGAAATCAGTATGGTGGTTACCCCAAAAAGTAAAAAGAAAATTACTATATGATCCAGCAATTCCACTTTTGGGTATATACCCAAGAGAATTAAAACAGGGACCGAAAGAGATATTTGTACCCCCATGTTCATAGCATATTATTTACAATAGCCAAATGGTGGAGGTAACCCAAATGTCCATTTTTTGAATGAATAAATAAAATGTGGTATATACATACAACAGAATATTATTTATCCTGATACAGGACATTCTGACACATGCTACAACATGGATGAATCTTGAAGACATTATACGAAGCAGGTCACAAGAAGACAAATGCTGTATGATTCCACTTATATGAGGTCCTTAGAGTAGTCAAATTCATAGATGCAGAAAGTAGAAGGGTGGTTGCCAGGGGCTGGGGGAGGGGGCATGGGGAGTTAAGAGTTTAGTGGGGACAGGGTTTCAGTTTTATAAGATGAAAAGAATTCTGAAGATTCACAACAGCGTGACTGTACTTCATGCCGCTGAATTGTATACATAAAAATGGTTAAAACGGTAAATTTTACGTTCTCTCTGTTTTACCAATGATGTTCTCTACTCACCATCGCATCCATGAAAGGGAAGGCAGCAAGATAGAGGAAGGCCCTTCTCGTTTTGCTCCCCACGGATTCGTCCACATGGTGCAGTTTGTTGATAATGTAGTAGCCTAGGTCACTATAAGCTGCGAAGGGTCCAAAGAACATACAGGGCAATATTTAGAAAACGTTACCTTTATATGCTTTTCTCTCAAAAGTTTAAATGCAATTTTAAATATAATATATTTTTTAATTAGAAAATTTAGATGAGCAAAAAGGAAACCATCTACAATCTCATCCCTCTACCGGGGTAGGTGGGAGGGGTCATGGTAAAATACTCTAGGCCCTAACTGCCCAGTTCTTTTATGGGGGGGGGGAGTGTGTGGGGCATGCACGTGTGTTTTAACAGAAAATGTGCTCATACTTATATATACTCCTTCGTAAATCCTGAACACCTTTTCATGACATGCTTCTACGTTTTAATGGTTGCACTGAATTCCTTTCTGTAGGTTTACTTAGTATCAACTTACTCAGTCTCCTATTGTACATTTAGGCGGTTTCCATTATTTTGATATTATAAAAGAAGGCTTGATGGATAGGTTTGAAGCTAAATGTTTACACATATTCTTAATCATTTGCTAAGAGAAAATTCCTAGATATTACTATGCCCTTTCAGTAAAAATTTTACAGCTAGTTTTTCGCCATTTGCTATTTGTTTTGTTTCATTTTTGTAGGGAGGAGGGCTGCAACCTTGGGTATAGCCCTGCCCAGTGGAAAAATGATATCTCTGAGGTGCTTTTGAAGTCCCTCCAACATCAGGATTTTCAACCAGTGTGTGACTGGAACATAATGGGAACTTGACAGAAGTGGGCTGAATGGCTGTGCAGGTGCCAAATAGATATAAAGGCAGAAAAACGGTCTCGTGTCAGCCAGGCATCCCCGTGGAGAGCGGCAGCCAGGACGAAGCAAAACGGTGAGGTTTTCTGCCTCCTTGATACATGTTCAGACTCCATGGCAGATGATCGTCTCTGTGCTCCTCCTAGTGTCTGACATAGTGCTCTAATGGCAGTGCCCCTGGCAGTGCTCTTTCATAAATAAGAGCGTCCGTGCACTTGACGACCAGAGAAGCTGCTTCGAAAGCAGAAAGGAGATAGACGCAGCGAGAGTCCCACTTCATGAGAAACAATAAGAACCTCCCCCCACTGAAAAGCTTGGGGGATGACTTATTACCATATTACTGGTAAAAAAAACACCCCACAATTCTCCATCCTTTGTCAGGGTTAGTCTTGAATTATGGGAATTGAGGTCTTCAGGATACCACAGATATTTAAATGCACAAATGGGAATCCCACTGCGGGCAGAGGTGCAAATAAGTGATTTCAAGGGGTAGAGGCAGGAAGGGCTAAGACATGCAGAGAACAAAGAAGGTGGGGGAGACAAATGCAGGAGCAGAGGGCCAAGTCCTCCAAGGAGGGCAGAGGGGAAATCCGTAAGGGGAGCCGCCAGGTGAGCAAAGGTGTCGGGTGTGGAATGTGGCGAGGCCATCAGGGCCCCTGCAGCAGCAAGAAGATACATCCAGGAGGGGAGGTGCCACGTGGCAGAAAGAAGAAAGATGTGGGAGGGTGGGATTAGTGACAGCCAAGGGACAGGGAAGGAAGGAGGCAACTGCATGTGTTTGGATCAGAAGGCACACGGACAAAACTGGATTAGAGAAGGCTTGACTGAGGCACTAAGACAAGAGATAAGCTGACAGAATCACAAAGCAACGTGAAGATGTACTTCATCACACAAACTGTCTATTTCAGGCACCAAACCTTGGAAATTTCATCTCAGAGTTTATTGTTGCTCCTATTTATCTGTACATGTGTTTTCATTCAGTCAGGAAACGTCCATGGTGCTGGGACCTGCAAGCAGATGGTGCTGACCTTGCCCACATCACTGCCCCACCCCGGCAGGGGCCACCCCAGCATAGCCACACACAAGCTACTCATGCTGGCGAGCAGAGCAGTGCGATGCCAAGTGCAAGAGCCCGGGCCTGGCTATGAATAGCTCAGGAGCTAAATCTCCCTGGTAAAGGTTAGAGTTGATATAAAATGCCAGCTGAGTGGACTTGAATGTACAGCCAAAGCTGGGGCCACACAACTGGTGAAAGACGGAGATCTAGAGGGTGGTGGAATGGCTTGAACTGTGTCCCCCCACAATCCCTATGTTGAATCCTAGCCCTCAGTCCTCAGAACATGACCTTATTTGGCAACAGGGTCACTGCAGATATAATTAGTTAAGATGAGGTCATCCTGGAGTAGAGTGGGCTCCCAATCCAATACAACTGGTGTCCTTCGCATTTGGACACAGAGATAGACACACACAAGCGGAACTCACATGAACCTGAAGACAGGGAGCAGATGATGCCTGCACAGACCAAAGAAGGTCTCAGATGCCAGCAAAGCACTTGTAGCTGGGGGACAGGCCTGAACAGAGTGGTCCTCCCAGCCTCAGAAGGAACCAACCCTGCTAACACCTTGATCTTCTGGCTCCAGAACTGGGAGGCAACACATTTCTGTTGTTTGAGCTGCCCCGTCTGTGCTACTTTGTTAGGACAGCGCTAGCAAGCTCATATAGGCGGCTTCTGAGAAAGGGGTAGAGAAGTATTTTCCTGGGAGACTCCGGGGCAGTGGCAGGAAAGATGGGACCTGTGCTTGAGAGCGGGGCATCTTGTTAGCTGTGTGGCCTACAGGGTAGAGATCAATGTAAATAAGCTGTTCTACCCTTTGTAAATATACCTACTTATGTCAGAATATTTTAACTAACAGCGCCTTTCTGCAGGGTAACAGAGGAAACATTACAAGCTTAACAGGGTCTGAAGGGCTGATGGGGGATGAGCTCAGCCCAGCTTTCTGATGCCACCAGAACGTCCCTCTCATCCCTGCCCTTTCCAGCCTGCAGCTGGTGCTGGCTCCTCCAGGGTCCCCAGGCCCCAGGGTACTTAGAGACCTATGGGTCCAAGGCTGCCTTCGCTTCTCTCTGCTTCTTTTCCTCTTTTAGGTACTAGAAAAATTCAGAGGCCAAGGACGCCCCCCACCCCATTCATTTTTTCCTTCCTCCTACTCCTCCCCTACATGGTGGGAGAAGAGTCACAAAAGTGGTTTTCACCCTGTGAGCTGGGAATATAAAATCCCAGCAGCTGTCTACCTCCTCCCCTTCCCTCCCAGCCTGTGCCCTGGAGCTGCTTCTGGCTGGAGTTGCTTCTGGCTGGAGCTGTCGGCTGGGGGTAATTTGTTTAAAGGGCTTTGCATAATCCCTAATTACCAGGCTAGCTGCCTTAACAACACCTAGTAACCTTCAACTTCTATAAATTGCTTTCTCAAGATTGTTCTGAAACAGCTTGTATTCCTTATAAAAAGCAGAACATTAAAAAGAAAAATTAAACAAGGTTTTTAAGCAGATGTAAATGGGTTTCCTGACGTGGCTGCAGCAAGAGGACATTGACCTGACCTATTTACAGGTCAGCAGCTTTGACCCCACCCAAACAAGAAGAAACCAGAGGTCCCATTCAGATCCCTGGCTCCTCTGACCTGAGCCCGCCTGCGGCATGGGCCCTGTCCAGAATCAGCGGTTCTCAAGCTTGTTCATCCAGTAGTTACCAGCCCTTGTTGCAAAATGCCACGAAATAGTAATATTAACAGAAACAAGTCTATATACCTGTATTTTCCCATGGGAACTGAGGAGAAAGCCCTCCTCCCATTTTAACAAAAGGATAATATGTGTATTGCCAAGAGGCAAATTTGAGAACCCTTACTCTAATTCAAATCCCCAAGTTACCATGCTTGAAAGTCTCAATGTTGATCGGCTCACTATGTTCTGTTCATTAGGCTTTTCACAGGGGCCGGTAACTTCACCCTTGTGTCTCTAATGTATCATTTCCAATGTGTGTGTTTGCATGACTGATATTTAAATCACTTTAACACAAATGGTTGAATGACTTATGTGTCTAGCAGTGTGCCACCTAACCCAGCAGTACAGAGGCTGGTCATCTGCATCAGGCTGAGTCACAGACATGCGATAAATTGGTCTATAATCCGCACCATGCAACGTTCATCTGGAAGATGTGGGGATGGGAGGTAAAACATTGCCCAGGCCTTGGAGAGGTAGCATAAACCTATACACAAAGTAAGTAAAGTTAATGTAACAAAAACTCTATCTCACTGGTATCAAGGCTTGGAAGAGTGGGTTTTGTAATGATTTACTGTATAATATGTGCTTATTCCCTAGAGAACATGCCTTAGTCATGTCTGAATTCCTAGGATCTAGCCCAGCATTTGCCATATAGGAGGTGCTTAATATATATTGATTGAATAAATGCATGAATCCATATTCCCCAAAGAGGTGATTGGGACAGACTGACTGCAAACATGTCCCAGCAGAGGCCATGTAGATGAACTTACAGTCTGCTGATAGCCGCCCAGCGAGCCCACCAAGATCAGGAGAGCCTCCTCCTGACTGTCAGCTGACCACAGAGGCATAAGCACAGCCACGTCCAAAAGAACCGCCCAGCCAACCCATGGTCTGGTGAGCAAGAATAAATGCTTGTGCTGTTAATCACTGAGTATAGGGGTGGTTTGCTTCTATAGCGATAAATTATGAGACTATAATGAAACTGCCTGTTCCTTCCTAACATCCTTGTTGGTTAAATTACATCGAACTGTACCAATTCACCCTTTACAGGGCTGCTTTATGATCTATTAATAATGGGAAAGTCTGTTGACAAAGGAAGACTGAGAAACAGAACCATCCAGAAATAACTTCACCTATTCACCAAAAAAGTGCTGTTCCTCTGAGCTCTGCTGACTGCCAAGGCTGTTTTGGGACATGGAAGAGGCCTTACAGGTCACTGCTGACAATAAACATGTCAAGAAATAAGAAATCCACAGCAGTGGTTTCTACATCTATGTGAATTAGGGGGTCAGGCAACACTAATGCCACACAAGTGAAATTAAGTTGAAACTGAAACCAAATGCAAGGTCATCAAGTTTTCCTCTCTTTTATAGATTGAGGGAGAAACAGGATAACACCCACTGGCCTAATTTAAGATCCGGCGATAGTAAACCCTATGATTGCAATTTTAAAAAATGGTGTCTCATGCCCTAAC